AGGCCCTAGAGCACAGGCTCAGTAGTTGTGGCTCACAGGCTTAGTTGCTCTGCGGCATGTGGCATCTTCCCGGACCAGGGCTCGAACCTGTTTCCCTTGCGTTGGCAGACGGATTCTAAACCGTTGCGCCACCAGGGAAGTTCCCCTTACTTTCTAAATCTTAGCTTCCTAGGGGGCATCACAGCAGTGGGTAACTGTAACGGGTCCAAGCCTTAGCCCATCTTATCTACTTGTTCCTCTGTAAATCTTGACCTGAGTTTTCTGAGCTGGCAGAGGAGATTCCTTGGATCTTGGTGGCATTAGGATACATTTCTCAGACATTCTCTTTGTTGCCTGGACTTGGAGCTGAACAAAGGATAAGAACTGGAGCCTGGGCCATGTACCTGAGCATCTTAGGTGGTACTTGGCTGGAGGTGGTTATTTCGCCTCTCATCATACATAAGTAGTGACTCTGGGAGCCCATGGATGAGCCAGCTAAGTGGTAAATTATCGAAGCGTGCTTTGGGGCATCAGCTGAAACTGGAGGGTTATATATGGAATAGATCATGAAGTCTGATCAGATTCAAGCTCGTGCATGTTTTGTTTTGTTTTAACAGAATGAAGTCCCTGAGGTGAAGAAAGAGGAGACCTTGTTGGATCTGGACTTTGATCCTTTCAAGCCCGACATGCCCTCTGCGGGTTCTGCTGGAGTAACCCACTCACCGATGTCGCAGGTACCAAGTGGATTTTTGGATGTTTGGGGCTGATACTTCATAAACTTTAATAAGCTCAGTAAGGCATTCTGCTGACCCCTCTCCCTTTCACGTGACTATTGACTTTTCTTTTCAGTTGATGAATATTTCCTAAAGGGAAGGAAGGGTAGAAAGAGGACTCGATCACTGTCAATTATTCTCAACCTCCCCTACCATTAGCTTTCTCTACCCGCAGAGCTGGGATAACATACATTCCAGTTTGCCAGGAATCATCCATCTCAGAATGGTAATCCACAGAACCACATTTGTACTCAGAAGTGTCCAGGTTTGGATGATACATTTTATGGCTTCCCAAAATAAGACTGTTTCTTTGGGCTTGGGGTTTAATCTTCTTACTGTTTTCTCTACTTTCCTTCCTCATACTTTGCAAATTAAGGCATGTTTCAAATCACCATGAGATTTTGCCACAAAAGGAATTTTTTTTCAGTATTGATAGTTCTGAACTTGATGATGGTGATGATGGCCTGTGTGTTCTTGATCATGGCTTGATGCAGAGTTGGCCTTGCTTATCCAAGCTTACCCCTGCTCATGACTTCCTCCTCCTCAACATTTTCCCCATTTCAGTAGTTATTACGATCTCGTTGTCTATCAGAGGGATACTGGTGGTGGATGCTCTCATGACCTGTGGGTGATTCCTCTGGAATATAGCTACATCACAGTTGTCTCTGCTCATGGAAGGAAGTTAACTCAGAATTTTTGCTACCCGGAAATTGTTTATGTCAGTAGTTTCGCTGTGGTCGGGGCCTCACATTTGAGTTTGGGAAAAATCCAAGGATGCTACAATGTACTTCCAATGAATGAATCACGGTGTATTGCAAAACTCAGCTTAGGAAGTGAGACCCAGCTCAACTTGCTGGTCATGAAGCCTTCTTGATACAGTAAACCACTGGGGCACAGACAGCTCACTGTGACCCTCAATAAATAAAACTCCTCTTTAATCCATATTTTGTTCCAGAATGTGATTGGATTTCTGCAGGCCTCCAGGTTGTGATATTGGAATAAAATAAAAATAAAAATCTGAGACATCAACAAAGCAGGCAATTAAGCAGGTTAGACACTAGTCATAAAGGTACTTTGCAAAAAAAAAGGGTCTCTTAGATGAATGTTTCTGGAAGTTCTATTAATTCCCTTTTAAGATACTCGTGATGTGCCTTAGAATATTAAGGACTCCAAGAAATCCTACAATTTAAAAAAACTGTTTAGATTTGTTTAACTTAGGGTTTCCCGAATGTGTTTGACCCCAGAAATCTGTTTTAATGAAACGGTCTTAACATTCATGGGAAGGGCCTCTAAAACTCACTTTGGAAAATTCTGATATAGTCATTGTCAGCAAGTTTGACGAGTCTATCCTGGTGGCCAAGCAAAGCGGAAAATGAACGTACGTATCATTCAGAACATCTCCTTTCCAGAGCTTTCCCATTGTATAGAAAGCCAGCAGAATTCAAGGGACTTTTCCTGCCTTCCCCTCCAACATTTATTACTTCAGTGGCAGGAAGAAAGTTTCCACAGTGGCTGCTGTGATGATCGGGGGTGAGATACCGCAGCATTTCTGTCTGCAAGTCTGACTCAGGAGAGAAAGCTCTTCTCTATCAATTCATGATTAAAGGAAGCCATGAATCATGGAAATTAAGGCTAAGAGATTCTTTCGGAATTCAACAAACAAACAAAAAATAACCTTGGTGATATCTTCAAAGGTCCCAGTTTCTGGAGGAAATGTATTACTGCCATCAGGGCAAGCTGTGTGTGCCCCTCTATCCTTCCCTCGGGCCAGGTGATTAACTGCTCTGACTTCCCAGTGGCTGTAATTGAGACCTCACTGCAGAGTTGTCCTGTGATCCAGCGCTAACCACATCTCTCCTCTTTGGCTCAGAAGAAAAGTCTAGGCTGAGATAACAAAAAGCACAGAGCTGTTAGAATCTGCTACCTTCTCTCCCCTTCACTCAAAATGCTCTCCCTTCCCCATCGCCTGACCCCTTGTTTTCTTTTCTTTTCTTTTCTTTTGAGATCCAGAGTTTTGCTTTATTAGACATCTGTGAAGACAGTTTGCAGATACAGTCAGATTGTGAATTGCTGCCAAGTTCTGTGAAGTTTGAGTTTATAGTGAACAAGACCCCAGTGGTTGTTATTTTAGAATATATTTCCGTATTCCAAGCAGATGAGACATGTGATGTTTATGGCCAGCAGCTTTCATACTAGTCACATCCACTTCAGCCATTTCCCAGCATAAATATGCAGCTACTCATCTCTACAATGTGTGATTCGCTCTTCAACTAATAATGCCTTCTGACTCCTGTTTATATAGGTGCATGCGATTCTTTGCCACTCTGGCAGTTAACCAGACCTGGACTCTAACAGCTAAACTTGATCTAAATAGCATTCTAGGGGTAGGGCAGGCTCTGTAATCCGGACTCATCTTAGCCATGTGACCCCATGTTTTAATTTGCATTCTTGCTGCTCACAGAACACCTCACCTTGTGATCTCTGCAGTGTCCACACGAGCTAACACATCCTTTCATGATCGGAAGGAGTGATAAACACGTTTCCCGTTGCTGCCTTCCTTTGGAGAAAATACCTGTTCTGTCTGCATTATGCAGGGATGTGTAGGAGCTTCTAGGAGCTGTGATTCTTAAGGGGCTGTGAAGCAAGAAAGCATCAACCGTTTGGAGAATCAGAAAATGCATATAAGGTGCAGAAGGAGTCCAAGTACCAATAACTGGCTTTCAGTGGAAAGTGTTCTACACTTAGTCGTTCTACAAGTGGGTGCTAACCCAGAGACTGACCAGGCTGCCCAGAGCTGCAGGGTGGGACCATTAGAGGAGGTCTGGACCAACTGGGGGGGAGGTTTCAGCTGGAACCACAGGGCCCATCTTCTGTGTAGTACAGAACGCAAACCAGACATCCATAATCCCATCTGGAAAGTGTCATATTCTTCAGATGCGAGTACCAGGCTCTCTTAATTTTCTGTTCACATGTAGAGATTCAAAATAAGTGCTCAAACATGGATCTATTCTAGTCACAAAGACATGAGCAGAAAAGGAGGTGGTCTTAGCTGTAATTCTGAGTCACAAAGGAAATAAGAAAGTGTCCCCCACTTTACCCACACAGTGGAAGTTATTTGAACCATCTGGATTCATTCCCCAGGATCAATAAGCTTCATAATTAAAATGCCAGTAGTAAGTGTAATTCACCCATGTCTTAGGGGGCACCCTGCTAATTTGCACGATTGCCAATTAATCGAGCTGTGTGTTATCGTCTAATTCAACGTACTGAAGAACTACTTTTCTGGAATTCATTTACCATTAACAGGTCATCGTCTTGACTTTGGTAAGCAGGGGTGGGGAGAGGAACGAGCATTAGCAATGGTTAGGATCTGCATTTCCTCAAAGATGTGATAAACTCTGATTTCTGGACATCTTGTTTACTTCATCTTAATTGTGTGTGTGTCTGTGTGTGTGTGTGTGTGTGTGTGTGTTAATGTAAACCCATTCGTCACAGTTCAGATATAGTTTTCACTCACAGAGCAAAAAGCAGATTGACTAGACCTATGCTATCCAATATGGTAGCCACTAGCCACATGTGGACATTTTAAATCTAAATTAAATATAAGAATGTAAAATTTAAAATTTGGTTCTGTTCCACTTGCACATTTCAAGTGTTCAGTAGCACATGTGACTAGTGGCTGCTGTATTGGACAGCACAGATATGGTACATTTTCATCACCAAAGAAAGTTCTGTGGGACACTGCTGTACTAAGTGTTTCTGAAATGTTTATGATTTTATTTCAAGAACTTTTGTCACCTCCGTGTTTTTTACGTGCTGGGGATTTGTCTGTTAATGGTATTTTTGTTTCTCTGCTTGCTTTCAGACATTGCCCTGGGACCTATGGACGGTAAGAGAACTAAGAACTCTGTACCTTGGTGTATCTGGATTGCTAGACATTTGGGAACCTTGTTATATTTTATTTCATCTGTGATGGAAAGAAGACCCAGATGTTTTTTGATGACGACATAGTCCCCTAGAACAATCATCAGCTCCCTCATGGTTTCTAAGCATTTACCTGCACATGGAAACAAAGGTGAGGAAAAGAATGTCAGTGCCAGACTCCTGGGTGAGCAGGAATTCGGTGTTTTGCCTTTTATGCATCCTCCTGTGATTATCGGTGGCCAGAGGAAATTTTGTAGTGAAGGCATGCTTATTTGTTATTGCTTATAGAATACCCAAAAAGTATGGATGAGAAAATGTGAAGGACGAGCTACTCTACACAGGGAACCATTTTTTCATTATTATTTTCAATGACGCTTATTAGTCAATGAGGATTTGAACTTCAGAGTCACACAGTCCTGGATTTGAGTCTAGACTCTAGTTCTTCTAACAATATGACTTTGAGCAACTTCTACTAAAACTCTTTAAGCCTCAGTTATTCTCATCTGTAAAATAAGGGTAATGACGCCGACCTCAGAGGCTTGTGTGAGGATTAGAGATAGTATTTGTAGAATATTTAGCCCAATGTCTAGCATGTGTCAATACAAGGTAGATATTACTGCTAATGTTATTTATTCAGCTACTCTGATGTACAAGGATGAATACTTCCAGAATTTAGACTTCAGAATAAAACACAAACAGGCTGTTGTGGTGGTGACATCTGTGAAATTAAGAAAATGACTGCACCCACATAGAGCCTCACATCCCTTGGGGTAGGGCCGTGGTCTACCCCTTTCTTAGAGAAGCCCTTGGTCACGTGGTCTTAAGAAATCAACTTGAGTTCACATTTTCTTCTTTTTTAGTGAGACAGCAACAGGAAAGTTGGGTGGAGTTAACTATTCATGAGCCTGGTCTTTTGAGGTGACATTGCTACTTTCTTCCCTTAAAACAGAAAGATGACTATCCCCTTCCCTTCCACAGGAGCTTAAAGCATCGTGGAAAGCTCTCAAGAGAAGAGCTAAAAAACGTTGAACGAAAACATCTTTTCTAGGGAGCTGGTTTTACTTGCACATTCGCAAAAAGGGATACATGGGTTGACATTCAGAACACTGGAAAATTCTAGCCTCAACTTTGAGTTAATTTTTTTTAAAGATTAAGAGGACATCGCTAATTTTGGTTATTCCAATATTTCATATCTTTAGTTGGAGCTATTATACACCTTACCTTCCCTAGCTGGGAAGGGTATAGAGAGGATAAAAGTACCATCTAGAAGGAACGCTGACTAATTCAGAGGACAGACCTGCTAGGAATGGTAATGATGACAAGACTGTAAGACAGAAGCTCCCTGGGCATAATAGCTGACATTTCTTGATCTTCTTATCTCCTCAGTGTTATTTCTTTGTGTGCAGACAAGTCTTCTAGGTTGGGGGGAGAACGAGAGGAAAATCCTGCAGGCAGGCAGAGTGGTTAGTCCGTCGGATCATCTTCCATGCAAACACCACCTCAGAGGCAGAACCAAGGGCAGGATGAGTTTGGGAAAGATTTTATTCTGACACTGTATCAGAGCACATGATGCTGTGTGATTCTGTGGCTGCTAATGCTTGATCTCGTTCCGGTGTCCTCAGGCTTGCTTCTTTATTTGAAACTTTTCATTTCAGAGTCTGCTAAAGCAAAATCATGTAATAGCCATAAAACGTCCTTGTTGGTATTAGTAAATGACAGAGGCATTTTTCATGTTTCAATTGTGTAGTCTTAGCAATAGTGGAACAAAACTCATTCCTATTATAAAACAAGTTGCAAAACTTAACATCAAACCAATAAAAGCCAAAGTCTTCAGCAGTATGTTGACTTTGGGCAGCCTGGGATTTTAATGTGCTACGGAATTTTCTTCTCTTGCCTTATGATTATGCTTATGCTTATTTCTTCTTCTTATTTTTTTACTCATATAGACAAGCACTGATTTGGTACAACCGGTAGGTAAATATCCAGAAAATTCTGGATTTTTTTGGTGTTTAATATGCATTGTATATGTGGTATATTATCTAGAATGAGCTTTTTTTTTTTTTTTCTCATTGCATTGTTAGTCACAGATTTAGCCTTAAACCATTTAATTAAAATACTTTCTAGCTTTGTGTAACTGGTGCTACCCTACTGAAGAGCTTTGTGTTTTTCATCAAATCTTACCATGATCTATTTCATCTTATGTTTTTTTTTTGTTTCCTTTGCTTTTCTGCACACTCTAAAGACTGATTCTTCAAAAAGTCTTTCCCTGTGTAACCTGATCATGGAGGAACCTCCAGACAGTGGGTTGACCGAAGAAATTCGAAGATCTCAGATTGATTTAGGTGCAATTATTTGGGCCCCTGATGCTAGTACAGACAGTGTCAGCCAGGAAATTACCCAAGGTGGGTCGCAGGAAGACTCTGCATGTCTCTCCAAAGCAGAGCAGGAACTGGGATTTTCCACCGGAATACTTCCTGCTGTTGACTGGCACACTGTAGCTGGACAGGGTGAGCATGTTCTGGGGCCAGCCCCTCCATGTAGAGAAGAACAAATGCCCCCAAATCCCATGCCTGGTGCTGCTTGTTTGGAGATGGAGTGTCCTTGCGATTTACCTGACTCAGAGATACCAGCCGTGGAAACTGGAGGCCTGGTCAAAGAAAGTCCAGAAGATGTTAAAAAGTCAGAAGGAGAAGAAAGGAAACAGAAGATAGAAGATTCTGCCTGGGCAGGTGTGGAGACATATGAAAAGGTAGAGGCTGGAGCTATTGGTGTCAAGACCCTAGAAGGGACAGAGGAATTTGAAGAGAGAGGATGTACAGGAAACAGAATAGCAGATCTTTTTAAGACAGTAGGAAAGCAAGACCAGGAGACCTTAAAAAGCAATGAAGAAGAAACTAGGAAAGATCTAAGTGCTGGGTATAAGGAAAGTGTAAAGACCAATGAAAAGTATCTTGAGAAAACTGACATATTAGAAAAAGACAGGGAAAGTGTAGACAGAGCAGATGAGTTGAGTGACAGAGACCAAGGGCTAGATGAAGGGATTCGAGTAGAAATAAATAATTGTGAAATTATAGAGGGATCTGGAGCTAACCCTGCCAATCACTCAGATATTTTGAATCTGCCTCTCCATACTGACTCGGTATCTAATCCTGAAGATGCCAGCACAGAGGAATGGGACTTAGCTGGAAAAGACGTAAAGAAAAGTTTAATCTACCCTCCTAACCATGATAAAATGTATCACTCAGCACGGGGCAGTGCAGATGCTGAAGAGATGCAGTGTGAGGCTGTGTTACATGCTCCTGGAAGTAACAGAGATGGAAATCAGTCTGTTGTTTTATCGATAAAACGTGAAGCAGCAGCTCAGTCTAGGACAGATCTTAATTATGCTCTGGGAACTAATGCAAACAGAAGAGATTGGTGTTTGTGTAAGGCTGAAGATTCATTAATAGAGGAAGCTGAAAGTACAGTGACTGGGAACTGTAGCCATACCATTAACTTGCCAAAAATTGCAAAACCAGACTCTTGGGGAACAGATCCAGGTCAAATCTGGCAGCCAAGCTTGGATTCAGCAGTGAATAATACGGATATATTGGAATTCTCTGGTATACTAGATGGCCAAGCAAGTGGACTTGCCAGTTGCCTTGATTCTATTAACCACTGGCCTATCAGAGATATGGGAGGCTTAGATAATTGCTGGGAACATTTAGACACAGTTGGGAGCAAGAAAGGGCTGGAGGTGGACTTACTAGCAGATGTATGTGGGGAACAAGCCATTGCTAGCTGTGGGGAACAGAGTCAAGAGATAGCTAGACCATTGGTTATGGGAACCTCCCAGAATGTTAGCACCGAGAGTTCCACCAGTCCCCAAGACAATGACCCCAACAACTCAGATTTATCTGAAGATGAAATTGCTAACCAGAGATATGGATTGTTGTACCAAGAAATAGAGGCTGATAAAGAAGAGGTACTTACCCCAGTATGTAGTATAGACTAGCCAAAGACTTCTGTAGGTTCTGTTTTTCCTAATGTTTCTCACCGACTTCATCATCCATCACTCTCTTCTCCAAGATCTGCTTCATCTCCTTGACAGATTGTCATGTACCTCTTGAAATCTGTGCAAACCAAACACAAAATAGGTTGACAAAACAAACAAACAAAAATCCCCCGGAACAACAGCACAAAAAGCAGAATGATGGTGTTGGAAACTAATGAGTGTCTACTTTACCATGCTATTTACTGTATTTATTCTTTCTACTTTCATTTTTATTGTTAAAGCGCTAAAATATATATAAAACAGACAGATTTACTGTTCCTAAGGTGGTTCCACCCCAGTAAAAACACATGAAATGTTTCTACCCAGGTCCATTGAAACTATAAAATCTCATAATAGCTGTTCATCAAAATGATGTATTTAGAGAAATACTGGAAATGCTTCCAGATTCTATAGATGGCTAAAAAAAAAATGGGCTATTTAGCCACTATGGCTCTTGTCTGGAATCATGTTCTCATTATTGAGAAAGTGGGCTTTGGTTAGCCCTGAGCCACATACCAGCAATAACTGTAAAAGTAATGTTGTTCTTTTTTTTGTCAGCCTATTTAAAATAATACAGTATGGCCTTTTCCATTTCCTAAGCATTTTCGTGCACAGCAGCCTTTTGTATTATTTTAAAATTTGCGGTGGTCCTTACTTTCCCACTTGTCTAATAGACATTTACCAATCCTACAAAAGTAATGAAAAAAATAACGTACTCTGATTCCCATTTCTGTTTAGGCTTCTGGAGGTCCATTTAATGGATTCACCCAGGTAAGGAATCAATTTGCTGGCAAAATCCATCTGTTGAGAATGATGCAAATCTGAAAAATGTGGACCTCTGCTTGCTGGGATAGCATAATGTTTAAGTACGTCAGCATAAAATTTGAGGCCACTTCTTGTGAATTCAGTAATGGAAACAGTGATAGGAGCAATGTCGCAGGGTTGTTGTGAAGATTAAATGAAATGTGAACGTAGCAGCCTAGCACATACTAAGTGCTCCTTGACTCTAGTTAGCTATTGTTAATATTCTTAGCTCTACCATGGAATTCTGATGATTCCTCCACTAGAAATTAGAAGTTGTCTTTATCTGAGAGATCTCCTAGGTTCAGCTGTTGGAAAAGAGGAGATAGGATTGTTCTGAACTAATGAGATGGATCCTTAGACAATATAAGAGATTTTTAGGAGGCTCCTTCTAAATATTTATATAAGAGCCATACTACGCGGAACCTTATTTCTTCAGTGGTTCTTCAGGAAGGAGCCCCTGGAAGATCAGAAACTGTAGGTTGGCTCTGGCCAATAAGATGTGCCACACAGTGGACTGTCCCATTCACTGTATATGTCCCAACAGATGGACGGCGTAACCCATGTGAAAGGCAGGCCACATGGCTGTCAAGTTCATGGAATAAGTTCTGAAAACCTCTTCAAGGGAGACTTCAAATATCTGCTTGTCTGTGATGAGTGCTTTGTCTCAGAATATTAGACGTGAACAATTTTGAATTTTAACATTCAGAATTTCTCCGTTTAAAAGTTTGACTACTTTCCCACATGTTGCCTATAAAAAGAGAAAACCCACTGACTCACACACCTACACCCAAATACAGATAACACACAAACGCACAGAGAGATGATAACGTGTCTCTTCCATAGAAGAGAACTCCTTTGAAAGATCGGGTCATGAGAATTCATTTCTCATTTTTTAAGTGTGTATTTATCACTTATAAATGCACATAGTTTAAAGAGTGACAACATTTTATAAGGTTTTTTTTTTTTTTTAATTTAAAAACTTCAGACCATCTTACATCCCCTGATTTCCAGCTTCTTAGAGGAAAATACTTTCACACCTTGTAGCAGATTCCCTGATTTCACCCCCATATGTGTGCATGACTTTCTTCTAATGCTCCTTCTTGATTTCTGAAGCATTAGCTATGGAATTATCTCTCTGGAAGATGAGGACTTAAGCGCTTTCAACCTGCTGTGGCCACAGTTCACATCTCTCTCTGCTTCCCGTCCTTGCACTGATGTCATAGCCAGCCAGCCAATCAGTGGTGGTATTATCACGATGCTATAGGCGCTCTTAGTGCTCAAGTCATGAAGTTTACATTTCCTTTTATGCCAACGTTTTGTTTTCCTTTGAGGAAATAATTGTAGGGTCTTGTTTGTTAGCATGTTGGTTTGTTTGCTTAGTTTTCTAGGTACTTATTACTAATTCAGCCCCATACTCTGTGGTTATAGAAATCTCCTCTCGTTTTGTTTAAAACATTAAACATTCTTTAAGTTTCATCCTCCTGAAGGTTGAAACTCCTTCTGGATGGCTCTAGTCTGACCTGGGGATTCCATGGCTATGACTTGCTGCTATGGCTATTGTCACAGGGTCTCCCATCACGTCTACTGCGGGGATTGCCTCACCTGTCTTCTGTCCATCCACTCTTTTCGGGACACACATTGTCCTCATCTGGGGTTAAATTCCTCTTGGGTAGAGCACATCCTCCAGTAGCTTGCTGAGAAAGGTGTGCACAAGAAGCATGTACTTGTGACCTTCTCTGTTTGAAAATAATTGTGTTCCCATGTACATAATGGACTGTTAGCTTGGATATTATATTACAAGTTGTAAACCGTTTTCCTTTAGAATTTTGGAGCCATTGCTCCACTAGATTCTACCTCCTAGCCTTGCTACTGAGAAATTGTCATTTTGATTCTTGATCTTTTGTAAGAAACCCTCTCTCTTTCTCTCTCTCTCTCTCTCTCTCTCTCTGCCCCCTTATGTACCCCTCCCACCTTCCTTTTCTCTTTCTCTCTGGAAGTCTGTGTAATCTTTATGCCCCAGTGATTCTAGGATTTTACAATGATGCACTGTGGTCTGAGTCTATTTTCATACATTGTACTAGGCGCTTTTAATCTAAAGACTGTGTCTTTCAGTTTGGGGGAATTTTTCTTACTGATGATTTCTTTTGCTTTCCTTTGTTTTCTCATTCTGTAACCCTTCTCTTTTTCATATGCTGGCTTCTTGAGCTTGTCTTCTAATTAATTCTTTTTCTTCGCTTTTCCCTTTTCTCTTTCTCTGCTTTCCAACTCTTCCAACAGATTTTTCACTTCTATATATTTTTTTAATTTCCAAGAGCTCTTTTTGTTTACTGAATATTTGGTTTTTAATAGCATCCTTTTCTTGTGTCATGAATACAGCATCTTCCATTATATTTCCAAGGGTATTAATAATAATAATTTTCAAAGGTCTTTTCCCCCCTGTAAAGTCTTTGTTTCTTCCACTTTTTTAAACCTATTCGGTCTCCCTTTAATACTTGAAACTTTTCTTAAATGTTTGTTAATCTTGGCTGTCTCCTCGTATTTAATAAGAGGGGGACACTGAAAAGCTGAGAGACTTGTACGAGTAGGTAGAGCTCATTGACAATGGGTGTTGTTGTAGGATTCTGTTTCCTGTTGAGGAATTCGTAGTGTCAGATTCTTTAGGCTTTTTTTTTTTTCTTGAGCTGGTCATATTTCCCTGGGAAGACTCTTCTGGTCTCCTGTCTGGGTATGTGCAGGGGTGCAGGGGTACAAGCTTGGCTGCCAGTGTAATGGAGTTGAATGGGGAAGAAGCTGGGCGAGGAGGAGCCCATATCTAAATATTTATTATGTAAATGTTCATTTAATCCTGCTGCTTTCCTAATATGCCTGTGTGTCCCCCAGTCCAGAGACCCTCTGTTTCAGCCTCTGAAAATAATCTCAGGTCGGGGGTGGAAAGGGTATTGCTTGGTTTTCAGGTAGATGAGAGTATCTCCAGGTCTAAGTACTTTTTAATAGACTTCCAACCAGTTCCTCTGTCTTTAGCAGCATCCTAACTTCCATTTCCTGTGGTCCCCATCTTTCTAATTCTTGATCCATTGGGATTTATGAGTAATAAATTGGCATGCTTTTTGGCATTTCTTACATCAACTTAAGGTACAGATGTTTTTGGCTCCCCAAGTTACCTACTGTTCATTCATTTGCTTTTCAGTTTCAGAATTTTGTTGATGTTGTTTTTGTTCCCATTCTTTTTACCCTTATGGGTTTATGCCTTTAAAAATTAATTTTCTCATTGTTATTTAGTTTGGATTCTGGAGGTAATTGCCTGTGTTCAATCCACCATCTTTAACCACATGTCACTGGCTCATCTTTTCTGTTGGAGAACCGTTGATGTTTAATTCTTTGGGGATTTCTTTGGTCAGATTACCTAGGAAGGATTCTTTCAGTCTCCTGTTTGGAGGGTACAAGTCTGGCTACCTGATGAGGATTCTCCTAGAGATCACTGTTCCCTGAGATTTCCTCCACCTTGATTTTTTTAGGATTCATATCCTGAATGAATATATTGTGTACAGTTTTTAAGTTATGGCTCATAATTAACTCATAGAAGTCACACTTCAGTGATATAGTAAGATTAAGGTTCCACCATTTTAAAACGTTTAAATTTGTAGCTTAGATCCATTAAATTCTAACGTGATGTTGATGTCCAGAGGAGAAGCTGCAGACCAAAGATGCCTCTGAAGACACTGCCCTTTACATAATGTCTCTCATCAGATCATTGAATTCTGCTAGCTCAGGTTTCTATTTACAATAACTGCTGTCAAAAAATTATCTCTGCATGTTTTGCTTTTCTGATTTAAAATAAAAAGAGACTAAAAAAACTTTATAACGTATTTATTGACACAATTCATGCAAGCTAATTTAAATGATACCTTTGTTGTTGCTTTTTTGGCAAATTAACTGAAACCCTAATAATTTTGAATATTCTACTTTATTCCCAATTTTCAGCCACAGGACACTACATTATTCACAATGCAGACAGAACAGAATATGATCTGTAACTTGGTAAGCTGATTTTGGTTTGTGTTTTGGGGATGTTGTTAGTTACCACCAAATGATCCAAGGTTGATCTTTGTAGGTTATTTAGAGCTTGAAATCCAGAGTGTGGTTTCTGTAGCCCCCTCTTTTCTAGAAAATGAGGAGAGCTTCTGAAAAATCTCAGTGTGACTTTTTTCTTTTATAAACAGTTTTTTTTTTAATAAATTTATATTTATTTATTTTTGGCTGCGTTAGGTCTTTGTTGCTGCATGCGGGCCTTCTCTGGCTGCGGCGAGGGCTACCCTTGGTTGTGGCATGTGGGCTTCTCATTGCAGTGGTTTCTCCTGTTGTGGAGCACAGGCTCTAGGCTTGCGGGCTCTAGAGCGCAGGCTCAGCAGCTGTGGCACACGGGCTCAATTGCTCTGCGGCATGTGGGATCCTCCCGGACCAGGGCTCGAACCCGTGGCCCCTGCATTGGCAGGAGGATTCCCAACCACTGTGTCACCAGGGAAGCCCTCTCAGTGTGACTTTGAATGTGGTTGCTTCTATTTATAAAGGCACAGTGATCCCAGCAAAAATCAGTCTCTTAATTACGGGCTTCAGTGGAACACAGTCTATCCATCAAGGACATGGGTGTTTTTTGTTTTTTTTTTTAATTAAAAAAAAAAATTTATTTATTTATCTGGCTGTGTTGGGTCCTCGTTGCTGCGCACGGGCTTTCTCTAGTTGCGGTGAGCGGGGGCTACTCTTCGTTGCGGTGGGCAGGCTTCTCATTGCGGTGGCTTCTCTTGTTGCGGAGCACGGGCTCTAGGTGCGGGGGCTCAGTAGTTGTGGCTCGCGGGCTCTAGAGCGCAGACTCAGTAGTTGTGGCGCACGGGCTTAGTTGCTCTGCGGCATGTGGGATCTTCCCGGACCAGGGAACGAACCCGTACATGGTTGTTTCTGAGTGACTGTACTTTATGCTACGGGACTGACAATGAAATTGCCTCGAGAATTCATGCTTGAAAGTAGATCCTTGCTTTTCCTTGAACCTAAAGCTACCTCATTTCTCATGTCCTCCCTTCATTTTGTGAGTTGTAGAAGGAACTAATGCACAGTAGAGGTGGGATTCCTACTTTGCTGTCAAATGAGATGAGAGGAAAGCTTAGCTGGGGAGTGAGGAGGCAGAAGGGTTACTCTGGGGGTTAGAGGAGATTCTTACAAACTCAGTTATCATGGGAAACGTTTTTAGCAGCAGCTTACTTGTAAAGTTGAATGAAGAGACCTTGAGTGACATCACTGAGAGCTTCCCAGTGCTACACTACAAAGGATTTGGGCTCTTTGAGGATTAGTTCATGGTTATGTGTAGCACACTGGTTTTCCCATGGGAATGGCATAGGATTATCCCAGCTTCTGGCTTTCATTTTGGAAACTTAGAATTGGGTTTAAGGAGAAGGAATTTTTCCTTTCAGATGATTTCACTTCTAAGTAAGGATTTCTGCTCTGGGAAGTTTGTCTTCAAGGCTAATTTGATATTTTTCAAAGGCAAGTGTTTCTCTAGCACCTTGTCCGGAGATTGTTGTATTTTTGCCTTTTGAGTAACCAGATAAAAAGGTGGAGCCTGTGAGGCCTGCAAATAAAGATTTAAATGTTTAAGATTCAGGTTATATTGATGTTAATAATGGAGCCAGAGAGACCTCCATTTCATGGTCATTGGTGGTTTTCAGTCTGGGGTGCTGATGGAGTAAAGGTTATATTGGTGCTGGAGGATGAGATTTTTAATTATCAGTTGAGAATGGGTTAAGAAAAACTGAGAGACCCTGGTATAAATGAAAAGGCAATGGGTCATCATTAAATTCACACCTATTACTGTTGCAAATTCCTGGCATAGAATCCAGTGGTTTTTAAGTTTCTCTGAACATCTGTCTACCCCCTACAGGTGGTTCTAGGAGCTTCCATTGCCTGCCCTCCCCTTCTCTTTATATGTATTCTCTGAAGCAGACTTCTTGCACCTTCTTTCCATTGGGGAACTTAGCTTCGTCATTCCCAGCATTGTAGATGCTGCTAGGGTTGCCCTGTGGGGAGCTAGGAATCACAGTGACCCTCTCCCACTGAGCTGTGATTATATGGGATCTTCCCAGGAGCAGGGCAGTGTCCCAACATGGGTTCATTGACTGGTCTGAGCAAGGTGGAGGCTGCAGTTGGTAGTCAACTGCACATCTCCCCAGTCTGCATCTTATGCCCCCACGGGATATCCCTTGTGTACAAGTTTAAACCTATTTGAATCTGCAGACCCTGCCCTGGGCTCAGGGTTGCCTCCATGACCCTTTGAAGTTCTCACTAAATTAGCTCTCCCCAGTTTGGAGAAGCAGGATCATAAGGTAGTCGCCATATTGGAATGTGACTAGACCCTTAACTCCACTCTCCCTGCCCATCTCTTCTTCCTCTGCATTGACTGTCTTTCTAGCCTATCACAGAGGATGCCAGAAAATGTGCACCAAAGTTACACTACTCGTCTTGTTCTAAAACAAGAATTCCATTTCTGAGTCTCAGAGTTAAACCATTGTGGCATCCTGCTGTCAGTAATAAATATAGAGTATACCTCTCCTCTGAATGTATAATGGTCTCTACTCCAGCAAACAGTAGCAAGCCCTTACCAGCGCTCCCAGATGGATATGGCACGGTATCAACCCATTTGCAATGCTTGTTAAGGGAGGCTTCTTATAGAAAAAAAAGTGGTTGAAACAGGGCACAGTTCCTACAGGACTATTCTGAGATCTTTCTACAAGATGTTGTTCACAGTTTACCTTTGTTTTTCTTTCTATCTTGACAAAACATTTTCAATTTTACATTATCTTAGAAGGATTAGGAAAGTGGTTTCTATTTCCAAAGTTGAGTAGCTGATTTTACGTGCAAGCATGCTGTCACGCTTCAGCCTTATTTGTCATTCAGTGAGTTCTATTTGTCCCCCTAGAATTTAAGTTGTCAAGTGTGTAATGCTATATTATAATATTCGGTGTGATATTATAAATAGAGAAAAATGTTGTGACTCGTAGGACATAACCCGTCTCTCCTCCCCTTCATACTTGGCTTCCATTGAGTCATTGTCTGACCTCAGCAAGGAGACGCCATTGGACTTATTCATGAAATCACCCTAGTTATTCTCGCCGTATGTAAAACTTCAGAATTTCCTCGCACTTCCAAGAAACCCAGCCTCTGATGCAAATATGTTTTCATTTTAAGTTATCTCTGTGTTTGGTTTTCTGGGTTTTTTCTTAATGTGCACAGATATATTTATTTGATACACGTTTTGAAACTTCTCTTGACCCCTAATCCTCCATTGCAGACTCAGCTCGCAGGGGGACAGCCCTCAGCCTATGGGTTTCTTGCTCTTCGTCAAATTACCCTTCCTGTCCTTGTTGTGCAGGTCATCTGATACCATTCTCTCATAGCAAATCACCTCGACTTCCAAAATGGTTAGATCATACTCTGAGAGCTTACAGTAGCTCTTTGCTGCTAGGAAAACTCAGTCCATTCTGAAGATAATTCCTTTTGAACAATACAAGTGAAATCTTTCCCCATAAAGGACTCCTGAGAGTAGATGAGAGTGAATTTTATCTCATTCTTTCTTAAAAATTGTGTCTGATCACCCCTTAAAGGTTATAAAAGCCCGTAAAAATATCAAACCTCTGTACATTTATCTCCCTAAGTGTCCTTTCATTTTATTAAGCCGTTTCAAGAGAAGGGTGGTATGACCTTAGTATGCGTCACAGTGGAGGTTTTGGTGGAGGGCACAAGACAAATTTTGCGTATTTATCCAACAGCAGGCTATCCTTATTTTCTATAATCTCAGCATAACTTCTCCATCACTTCCCCATGTAGCTTGCCATGTGCACCAGCTTCAGTGGACATATGGGAGAGCTAGAGATGGCTTTTGATTGTTTATGGCGAATGTCTGACGGAAGTTACTGATTCCTCCAAAGGAAGTATTTATTGGAGACTCCGTACTCCTCTAGGAAAACGCTTTTAAACTTTCTTATGGTTTAAATGCCCTAATAGAAAATGATCTTAAAGTGCCCTACAGTGGCCATCCATTTAGTGAAATAGTCATGCTAAATAGTGTGTTTACATTAATCTATAAATCAAAAGAGAGGAAACAATTTCAGTAGCTGTGGTAACTTGCATTGGCTGTGCTGTTTTTCATAGCCTGTTGTTATTTAATCATGCTAATTTTAAAACTCAAAAAGCCTGGAGGTAAGAGATGCCAGAGGCTTGATTCAGCATATAATTGGAATCAGGAGGGTGTCTGTGTGTAGGGGTCACAGTGGGAAGAAAAGACCTCACTCTTATCCACACAAGTAGAATAGTCTAATTGGTACCACAGAGAATACTGCCTGTGGTTCCCTAAAGAATAAGTTTATTATATGAAAAAAAAAAAAAAAAAAAACAACTGATGGCTAAGGATTTTGTTGGAGGGAAAAGTGGAATAAGGGAACGAACAAAATGTAAGGCAGCAAAGTATCTACGACTGTGGTGGCTCCTTGCCAGGTGGTTGGATCTACGCCTCCCAGCCGGGGCAGTTGCGGAGTAACTTCATAGTGACCTTTTCATGCACCTTAATGCGTTTTGATCTGAGTATTGGGATGGCCCCTCATTTTTTTGGTTGCATTGCATATCAACAGAGGGGGGAGGTCCCAGAATTGTGCTTCCGTGAGCTCTTCCCTACTCCTTCCAATTCCCAAAGGTGGGAGCTCCTAGGATCTCTCCTCTCTCTGCTCAGTAGTGGAAAGTACCGTTTCAGGATCTCTTATAGATGTCCTAAGGAAGTGAATACTTAGAATGTTGAAAGTAAGTAAAATGAGTAGCCAAAATGGTAAGTCTTTTTGCCCAACTTCAGGGGATATAACAGTGCTTGGTGATGGTAATGTGAAGCTTAATAAGAGTTTATTCCTAGACTTTTCAGTTGTGTAACGACCCATCATGCCTAATGTGCGGGTTTTTTCCAGCACAGATTTAATGAAGCTAATTGCCTGTAGGATGACGAAGAAAATCGTAATTGTCCAGTATTCTGTCATGTTACCTATTCACTTGTTGAATCTTTTTCCTCTAATCCTCAAACCATCAAAGGCTGAACCTGAACAGGCTCCGCCCACAGAGCCGAAAGCAGAGGAGCCCCCCGCTGCTGTACCACCTGCTGCTGGGCTGGACCTTGGACTTGACACCCAGGCTGAGGAGCCAGTGGAGGGGGCAGAGGTGAGCGCCACCTGCCTTCCACCCTCCTCCCGCCTCCCCTGCCATTAGCTGTGCTCATCTCATCATCCCATTTCTCCCTTCTCATTCATGCTTCACTTGGACCAAATCACCTCCGTATCTGTCATGGCTCCCCAGGTTCAAATGGCCTTTACTCCTTTGACAGGGAAACTGCATGATGCTCTTATTGTTTTTTTTTTTAAGGAAGATATCCAGAGACCTGCTCTTATGCCGTCATGTAGCCACAGGCTTGGTTCTCAAAAAAGGGTGCCTTGATTCTTTCTGATACTCTCCCATTCATGGTCAATAGGTTGTAATAACTCACAAATAACCAGACTTGTTAATGCTCCGCCCCACCTGTGATGGCTGGAGATGGGCCTTCCATTAGGGACTAACCTGCAGATGATAAACGGAAGGGTAATCACCTTGTTGGTTGTGTCTACACGTTGATTTCTTACAATATTAGTTTTGTAGGTTGGTGAAGGCCCCAGGAGGGACTGAAATCCTGTATTAGAAATCCTTGAATCTATAAGGACTTCTATGGGAACAACCATTTGCTCAAAATCAAGTCTGGTGCTGGCTGTTATAGCACCAGAGAGCTTGAGGATGTATTTTGTGCAAGAGTGGAGACTCCTTTATCTGCCTGGAACCCTTCTCTAACCTGCTCCTTTCAGCCACACACCACACCACATAGAAAACTGGGATGGGCTCTATATGCACCCTATTGAATTGGATAAGTTAACACACGTGAAAGTGTAGAATGACACCAAGGAAAATTTACCAGGGAAGTGTACCAAAGTTTCCCAGGGAGAGTGAACAATAGTTTATTTATGAAATGTAGTTAAAATATCTCCCAAGAATTTCAATCAGGGTACCCTACAGCCTTCCCAGAATCTGTACAAACAGGGAGACCAGGCTTCCCTGGTGGCTCAGTGGTTGGGAGTCCGCCTGCCGATGCAGGGGACACGGGTTCATGTCCCGGTCCGGGAGGATCCCACATGTCGCGGAGCGGCTGGGCCCGTGAGCCATGGCCGCTGGGCCTGCGCGTCCGGAGCATGTGCTCCGCAGCGGGAGAGGCCACAACAAGTGAGAGGCCTGCGTAACGCAAAAAAAGAAAAGAAAAAAAAAAAAAGAGGGAGACCAATCTCCCTATTCCCAAAATAACATTGCCTAGGTGAGATAACTAGAGAAATAAAAGCTATATTTTTGCTGTCAGTGCCCTAGGTTGTTTTACTGGGAAAAGGGTAGGTCATCTGCCAAATTTATTATTTATTAATAGAGTAGAAAAAATAAATAATAGGGCAAGATAGTGATGCAAAATACAAATTAAGAATTACTCAAGAAAAATGATCGTATTTTCCATGTAAAGGTACACAGTTGGACCAAGTTTTGTAAGGAAAACAAGACTGTGTTCCGCTAGACTGAGTCCCTCCTAGAAAGGCTGTTTGCACAGATTGTAGACTGGCAAGTGCTGAGGCGCTGTGCTCCAGTGTCCGGGATTTTTCTTCTTAACTCTCATTCCCAGATTCACAGGTGATCTTAGTAACTCAGTGCAGATGGAGCATATTCATTTGGTGTCAGATCTCTCCACCCAACTTAGGGTGATTTAAATAACAAAGGAAGGGAAAGAGACAATTGAATCTTCGAATACTGTTACAATTAAGAAGAAAATTGATTTTAAAAAGAATATGGACCATGCCAGGGAGTTAGAAAGATGTTGATTAGGTTCAGATATTGATTTAGAAATGGCTTCAGTTCTGAAAAGTTGTCATCAAATTTCTATTTTGAATAGCAGCACAGACTCCACCTTTACCAGTGCTTTTTTAAAAATTAATTTGTATTGGAGTAGAGTTGATTTACAATGTTGTGTTACTTCCTGCTGTACAGCAAAGTGAATCAGTTATACATACACATGTATCCACTCTTTTTTAGATTCTGTTCCCATATAGGTCATTACAGAGTATTGAGTAGAGTTACCTATGCTATATAGCAGTTATCTATTTTACATATAGTAGTGTATACCAGTGTTTTTAAACCCAGTTGATTCAGTGCCCCAGACTATTCAATGTAAGGCTTAATGACATCAACGCCCATGGTTTTGAGCAAGGGTATTCTGGGTTTGACAGTAGAGTGGAGATGTGAAATAGACAAGCTCATGTGTTAAATACAGGCTCGAATATTGATCCTCTAATGGCCGTGACCACATAACCTCTCATACCCATCGTTACTTTAATAAACTTATATAAGTAGGTTTTGTTTTCTCAAAGTCTAAGTTCATTGGTTTTCCAATGAAAAATCTGAGTAGCTACCAATTATCAAGCACCTATTGTGTCGTACCTACTACATATATAAAGATTTATAAAAGAATTATAATCTTCTAAATCAAGGGTGGTGTTAAAAATATTTAGCACTGGGCTTCCCTGGTGGCGCAGTGCTTGAGAGTCCGCCTGCCGTTGCAGGAGACGCGGGTTCGTGCCCCGTTTCGGGAGGATCCCGCATGCCGCGGAGCGGCTGGGCCCGTGAGCCGTGGCCGCTGGGCCTGCGCGTCCGGAGCCTGTGCTCCGCAAATGGGAGAGGCCGCAACAGTGAGAGGCCCGCATAACGCAAGAAAAAAAAAAAAAAAATATTTAGCACTGTATGGTATAAGCATCAACCATTACTAGAACGGGCTTCCCTCATGTTGGGTAAGGAGATGTTTGGAAGAATTCTTTTTAAAAAAAAAATATTTATTCATTTGGCTGCTTCGAGTCTTAGTTGTGGCACGTGGGATATTCGTTGCGGCATGCGGGCTTTTCTCTAGCTGTGGTGCATGGGCTCCAGAGCACATGGGCTCAGTAGTTGCCCCGCCGCATGTGGGATCTTAGGTCACTGACCAGGGATCAAACCCACTTCCCCTGCATTGGAAGGCAGATTCTTAACCACTGGACCACCAGGGAAGTCCCTGGAAGGATTCTTCATTCTGAAAATGCTTGTCTCCTAAAGCTTATGTGAACTTTAGAGAATAGAAAATTTAGATTCCTTGTGAAATGCAAGGCAGTTTGGAGAATCTTATGAAGGATTCAAGCACCTGCTGAGATGCAGAGGTGATTAAGAACAGCAGGTCCTGAGCTGACCATGTGAGTCATCCTATCTGAGAAGAAAAAGTTCAAGCAGTTGATTTCTCCACCCTCAAATGGACTAAAAAATAATAGTAAGAGAGGGCAGTTTCCAGCAGTTTGATTTGCCTAATGCTCATCAAAAGTGGCTACTTTTCATGTTTTAAAATGGACACACTTGGCTAAAGTCAGTTCTCCCCCTAAGTCCACCCTTCTACTTAAGAAAATAATCTCAGATAAAATGTGGTTTTCTTCTCTTAATGTAGGTTTATAGCTTCTTTTTTCTGGTCATAATTGAGATAATATTAGGGTTATTTTTTCTAAGGAAATCTCTCTTCTGTTGCTAGATGTGTGATATGTAGTTGTAAAGAGATGGAAATCCACACCGTGTCCGGAGCATTAATTAGAAGGCTGGCTGTGGCTGTCATCAGTCACGATGGGGTTGATGTGACCTTTTGAGGTCATCATTTTTGCTGCCGAAATGTCACCACACGGTTATTATTTCCAGTCTTGACAGAATGCATTTCGTATGAGGTGAAATTTGTGGTGTTTTGTTAAAAAAAAAGAGGCAAATGTAATTTCGAAAACAGGAAATTTGAGCAGCGGTTCACAAAGGAACCTCGGGCTCCCAAGAAAAGTTTAATTATTACATTTTTGTTTGTTGTCTCATTCCCCACCTAGCTTATATTGTTTAGTTTTTCCCTACAGCACCAAATTTTACCAGTATATCTGCAGGATACATTTTAAAAACCAACACTTCCTACCTCTTCTCCAGACGTTTCCATGTTATATAAGTACTGAAAATTTTCTTTAGGAAAAAAATCAATATTTGTTTAGAAATATATCAGAGAATTAGGTCAAAACCAGATAAAGATGATTTTTACCTACATTTATTTTATTTTCTTGCAGAGAATCCCTTCTAACTTTCTCTAAATTTCTGTCTGCTCCTATATTTTGCTCCAATGATGTGAAGTGGACCAATGTCTTTTTTCCCTATTATTTTTAAAGAAATAATGCAGTGTAATTAAATTTAGGGTTAACATTGTTTCCAAAACAAATAAATGGGGAAAAGATCAAGGTAGATATTTTTAGAATTTTAGAATTTTTAGAACCATGTTAGAATCCTGGAAGGTGAAACACTGACCCATTATTTGAGGAACTACTTTTGGTTTTGTTGTGTTTCGCTTTTTGAACATTTCACCAAACTTAAGTTGACTTGTCAGGACCAATTTAAACCAACAACTATATATAGATTGATGATAGATACATAGACGCATAGATAGATGATAGCTGATAGGTAAACAGATAGATGATGATAGATAGATAGACAGATGATAGATAGTTAACTGATAGGTAGATATAGATAGATAGATGATAGATAATAGGTAAACAGATAGATGATGATAAATAGATAGGTAGACAGATGATAGATAACTGATAGGTAAACAGATATAGATAGATGATAGATAGATGATAGATAATAGGTAAACAGATAGATGATTGATAGATGATAGGTAGATAGGTAAACAGATACATGATAGATAGATACATAGATAGAGATATATTCTATGGTCTGTGAACTTCATCTTTCCAGGAATATTTCTATCTGTGTGTGCAGAATGCATGTGCTAGTTTCCTCCTTCATTCGGCTGGTAGATATAGCTGAGTCCTCTCTAGATGTCTGGCTCTGTTCTGGGTCTGGGGGATACAGTGATGCAGGCAGTAGATATGGCTCCTGCCGTCCTGGTTCACACAGACTGGTGCTGGGTGAGGCGCACATTACACAGTGGTCCAGGCATCCTTCTGTGATGGGCGTGTGTGTGGTCAACAGCATTGAGTTTTCTCCTTGTGCAGCGTGAACATGGGAGCTCAGGCTTCCACTGTGCCTCTAGATGTGAGCTCGGATCT